GGCTGAGGTGGAAGGATTGCCTGAGCCCAACAGGTCGAGGCTGCGGTAGCCAGCATGCCACTACACTCCAGCATGGGTGACAGAGACTCGGACTCAAAAACAAACAATCAAACAAACAAACAAAAAAGCATAAAACCAAGTGTTGACAAGAATGTGAAGCAACAGAAACTCATACATAGTTGGTGACACCTTGGAAAAAATTTGGCCCTACTTATTAAAGTTGAAGTTTGCATGTCTTACAGCACTTTTTCTCAACAGCAAATGGTTGGTCTAAAAATTTTTGAATTTGAAAGTTCTGATAAATTTTAACTTTTTATCATAGATTTATGTATATTTTATGATAGTAAATGGTTAAATAGACTAAAATGATAAGATGTCTACATATATCTTATGCATTCAAAACCTACCGTTTTCTTAATTTTTTCAATATTCCTAGGCTACACAGTTCATTAGCAAGTTTCTTTTTAATTGTCACAAATCTCCAAAAAATTTCCAATATATTTAGTGAAAAAAATCAATGTAAAAGTGGACCTGCACGGCTCAAACCTGTGTTGTTCAAGGGTCAACTGTAATCATTTTAGAAACTTTATTCTGGCTACCATCTGGAAGGTAATGAATCAAAGAGGGAGGTGTCAAGTCAACATTAAAAACAAAACTTAAATATGTTCTGATATAGCACATGATACAGGAGATTGTTTGAAACGAGTACCAGAAGCATAAATGCTATAGTCAACTTTCAATGATATCTATTTAAAATTAGTGCCGGTCTCGGTGGCTCAGCCTGTAATCCCACACCTTTGGGAGGCGGAGGTGAGTGCAGTGCCTGAGCCCGCGGGTTCAAGACCCGCCTGGGCAGCGAGACCTCATCTACAATAAATTTTTTAAAAATCAGCCAGGCGTGGTAGTGCATGCCTGTAATTCCGGCTACTTGGAAGGCTGAGGCAGAAGGATCGCCAGACCCCAGCAGGTCGAGGCTGCAGTGGCCAGGAGCAGCCACTGCACTCCATTCTGGGCGACAGAGTGAGACTCTAACTCAAAAAAAAAAAAAAAAATTAACCATTGCTAATTTTCAGTTTCACTGTTTTCCTTTGCATTCAGCATACTACTGAGTAGTGGTCCCTGTTTAGAAAATAATTAATTTGTCAGATGCAGTGGCTCATGCCTATAATCCCAGCACCTTGGGAGGCTGAGGCAAGAAGAATGTCAGAGTCCATGGGTTCGAGACCAGAGTGGGCAACTTGGTGAGACCTCATCTCTACAATAAATCAAAAAATTAGCTGGGCATGGTGGTGTGCACCTATAGTTCCCGCTACTTGAAAGGCTGAGGCGGAAGGATCACCTGAGCCCAGCAGGTTGAGGCTGTGGTGGTCTTGAGCATGCTGCTGCACTCCAGTCTGGGCGACAGCTTTTGTCTTAAACAAATAAGTGAAAGGGTAAAGGAAATCAGGTCCCTTACTCTCTGGGACTTAGACCCCAGTTATTAAGGGGCATGTCATCTGGTGGGGTTGGAAGAGAATACCTGAGACTGGGTAATTTAAAAAGAAAGAAGGTAGCCGGGCTCGGTGGCTCAGCCTGTAATCCCGCGCCTTTGGGAGGCTGAGGTGAGTGGATTGCCTGAGCCCGCGGGTTCGAGACCTGCCTGGGCAGCGAGACCTCATCTCTACAATAAATAAAAAAATCAGCCGGGCGTGGTAGCACGTGCCTGTAATTCCCGCTACTCGCAAGGCTGAGGCGGAAGGATCGCCGGAGCCCAGCAGGTCGAGGCTGCGGTGGCCAGGAGCGGCCACTGCACTCCAGTCTGGGTGACAGAGTGAGACTCCAACTCAAAACAAAAAACAAACAAAAAAAAAAAGAAAGAAGGTTTATTTAGCTCACAATTCTGCAGGATGAGAAGCTCAAGGGCATGGCTCTGGTTTCTGGTGAGGGTTTTTGTGTTGCATCACAACATGGTGGAGAAGGTCAAAGGGAAATGGATGTGTGTGAAGAAGGGAAAGCTTGAGGAATGTCCTGGCTTTATAACAACCCACTCTGGTCGTTATAAGAATGAATCCAGTCTTGTGAGAGCGAGAGCTCACTCACTACTTGGGGAATAGTGCCAAGCCATTCATAAGGGATCTGCTCTCAAACCCACACACCTCCCACTAAGCTCCACCTCCCAAACTGCCACTTTGGGGATCACATTTATTTTATTTTATTTTTAAATTTTAAAGATGTGGAGTACAATCAGGGTTAAGTATACAAATGTTCATTATGCAGATATTCTTTTGATAAGGTGTGCCCCCCTCTCCTCCAGCACTACTGCCAATCCCGTCCCCCACCCCTGGCAGTTTCCTACAACTGCCAATCCTTCTCTTATAGTATTACAATAATTGTTCAAGGTCCACTTATGAGTGAGAACATGTGATACTCACTTATTTGTTTCTGTGATAGATCACTCAGTATTATAGACTCTAAGTCCATCCAAGTTGCTGCGAAGTTCATAATTTTGTCCTTTATGGTTGTTATATTCCATCGTGTATATGTACCACTTTTTTAAAGGACCAAACTTATTAATTTTATTTTATTTTGGTTGGAGTCTCACTCCGTCGCCCAGGCTGGAGTGCAGTGGCACACTCACAGCCCACCCTAGCATTGACCCGTAATCCTTCCACCTCAGCCTTCCAAGTAGCCGGAACTACAGGCGCACACTACCACGCCCGACTAATTTTTGATTTATTGTAGAGACGAGGTCTCACCAAGTTGCCTGGGCTGGTCTCGAACCTGTGGGTTCAGGCAATCTACTCACCTCAGTCTCCCAAAGTGCTGGGATTACAGGCTGAGCCACTGAGCCTGGCCAGAGGATCAAATTTCAACATGAGTTTTTGTGAGGACAAACCATATCCAACCATAGTAGTAGGCAACACAGACAAATGACTTAGGTAAGAAGTGAGCCAACTGGTTACTGCTTCTGATTCCTTGGACAGAGTAGGCATAGACAAAGAAGAGATTTACACTGGGATAAACATTATTGCTATGTACCCCAGACTTTCTTGTTGCCCAGATTTTGCAATCAACATACTTATGTTTTTTTAAAGGCCCATCACTACATAATTCTAAAGGCATCTGGCTTCAAGTTTATATTTTTCCTTTCTCAGGGTTCATGAAATGTCTAAGTATTTTCTTTTTTTAAAAAAAAAATTTACTTCATTATAAAGATGTGGGGTACAAGTCAGGTTTAGGTACATAAGTCATGTATGTGCAGGTGAAGTTTGGGCCTCCAACTGGTCCTCACTTCCCCTGGTTTAGGACCAGGTACCCTTTGTGTTGTTGTAGTCCCCCACTTCCCCTCTCCCTTGTGCTATTTTGATTAATGTTCAGGTCCCATTTATGGGTGAGAACATGTGGTATTTGGTTCCAAGTATTTCATAGATGTTTTCTAGTCTATCTTGAGAGCAATTTTACAATTCTTCCAGGACATTTGCCCTCTTGGCAAACTTTCCGGTCCACCTTCCACTTTCTGGCGGGAAATTTTCTTACATTCCTCCTTGACAAAATGCTGATCCTCCTCAAAAACTCATCTGAATTGTCTCCTTCTCTAGATTACCACTCCACTTGGCTCATACATCTAAATGTGTACTTACTGGTTTATATTGCAATGAGATCTTTTCTTGTCAGTCTCCACCTCTAGAACATGAGCTCCTTGATGGAAAGAACAGTGGTTTTATGTTCCACCTTGAGACACTGTAGAGCCTAATAGTTTAGTGCACAAAGCCAGCACTTCTGGGTTTTATCCCACACTTACAGAATGTGTATCCTTATGTAGATCATTTAACCTTTTTGCACCCAAGGTCTCTTGTAAGACGGGCATAATTATAGTGGCAATTTTAAGTTACCAGCCCTCACTTCTTTTATTTATTTTTTAGTTAAACCTTTTCATGACTGTCACTGAGTTACAGAAAAAATTAATTTTTTGATAAATTTAAGAGGTAGACTGACATATAAAGGGTCACTGCTTCCAGGTCAAATGTAGATAATTGTGTTGGAAAAAGTGAGGGAGAGACTTGAAGATTTTGGCAGGTAATGCGTGGCGTTCCTCCAGTCTCTGCAACATTTCACACCGTCATGACTTTTCTGACTCCCATATTCAGGGTCTCTTCAGTTCTTCTTACCTGTCGGTGAACTACTTTCTCCAGAAGGCTTCTTCTGGCATCTCATGTGTAGTCGCCGTCAGGTAACTGATCACCTTTTATGCAACTGTCTGTTTAGATGCCTGATATCACACAAGTGTGGCTTGAGCAGGGGGTTACGTCTGGTTTTTCTCTGTGCTCAAAGCTAAGACTGATATCTTCAGGCTAATCCTGTTAACGACTAAGTCTCCTTCTGGACGTTTCCCCTCTTCATCCGTCACTCCTTGTCTCTCAGTTCCTCAGCCTCACCTTGACGCTTTAGAAATGAGGACCCTCGGCCGGGCGCAGTGGCTCAAGCCTGTAATCCCAGCACTTTGGGAGGCCGAGACGAGAGGACTGCCTGAGCCCGCGGGTTCGAGACCAGCTTGGGCAACATGGTGAGCTCTCGTCTCTACAAAAAATCACAAAATTAGCGGGGCGTGGTAGCGCGCGCCTGTAGATCCAGCTACTTGGAGGGCTAAGGCGGAGGGATCGCCGGAGCTCAGGAGATCAACGCTGGGGCGGCCGGGAGCGTGCCAATGCACTCCAGCCTGGGCGACGGAGTGAGACTACAACTCAAAAAAAAAAAAGAAAAGAAAAGAAGTGAGGACTCTCAATCCCCACCTTCTGCGAGAATCCCTACAACCCCAGGACCTTAGCCCCGCCCACGGATCTTATCCCCGCCCACCCCAGCTTCTGACCCCTCCTCTTCCTTCGGCCCGCCTCCTTAGTCCTGGGCCACGAGTACGCATGCTCTCTCCGTAGCGTGATGACACAAGCGACGTTGGCGTGATGACGTAGGGGTGCCGGTAGCGAGTGTTGCTGCCCGGCCTCGGAGCGTAGGGTTAGAATTATCGCGGGGCGGTGGTACGCTCCAGCTGCTGGCTGCGAGTGGGTCCTTTTTGGCGTTTGCCGGGTGTACCGTCTCCATTCCGCCCTGTTGGGAGGAGGACGCGGAGGAGGGGTTCTGTGGGGGCAGAGCTGGGAGCCCCGAAGAAGAAGGAGCAGCCGGGGGGCTCTGGAGCGCTGAGGGGAGGGCTGCGGCCTCGAGCAAGGGGGGCAGCCGAGACGGGCGGACTCCTGCAGGCAGGGTCCGAACCGCTGGGTTCTGGGCTGGTCCGGCGGAGGGCCGGGGCAGCCTCGCGATGCTCGGGGCCCGGTGCCTGCTCCGAACCCTGCGCTCCTGTTCCTCCGCTCCCTGCCCTAGGCACAAACCTTCAGCCAAACTGAGCGTGAGGGACGCTCTCAGGGCCCAGGACACGAGTGGGGAGCGCGTTAAGGTCCAGGTTGGTGAATGGGAAGGGCGTGGGTGTTTCCTTTTAGGGTCTTAGATGGTGCATCCACATCTAGCTTGATTTGTACGGTCCGGTCGCACAACCATCAGGGGAAAGTTAGCAAGTGTAGGTAGGCATCGCAACTGGAACTTTGCTTTATCTGTAACCTTGTTAATCACACAGAAAAAAAAAAGGTAAACCGAGCAAGCCCCTTTTCTCTGCCTTTACCCCTTATAATGAATATCCGCTACTAAAATGGGGCTTTGCATTTAATTTATGTTTAATGAATTAGGAGAAAGAGTGGAATGTTTGAAAGAGCTCTGGAGTCGAGCTGCCTGGATTTAAATCTCGGCTACTTAGTAGCTTCTTAATTATAGGATGCCGTTTATGAATTCCACACCTTCGTTTCAAACCTCTCATGGAAATAGAGATAATGGCCCCTACTTCATAGAGGCCTGAAAATTAAATGAGTTAGAATGTAAGAACAGTGGCCCACAATCTATACATGTTACCTGCTATTACTTTTCTTGCTGATTATATTACAGAGAAGATTCCCCTTTAAAAGAGCAGGTTAAGCAAGGTGGTTTGACCTCATTCGGTTGTGGAAACACACTATTGCAGTGATTTTTTAAAAATCATTTTATTCTTGAGCCTGCGGGTTCGAGACCCGCCTGGGCAACTTGGCGAGACCTCATCTCTACAATAAAATAAAAAATGAACCGGGCGTGGTAGCGCGTGCCTGTAGTTCCAGCTACTTGGAAGGCTGAGG